CAAAAGTAAAACTTAATAGGAGCTTTTTTGTTTGGTGATCGAGACACATAGCGAGTGTGATCACATTTAGGATATATGGTCGTACTATTAAGAGGGGAGCTCTTATCGAACAACTCGATCATCTAGTGCCACTAGGTGTTGAAATACTTGCATTGCATTTTAGGCCTAGTGTACATTCGGTGAGAAGTGATTAATCTTTGAAAAAAATATTTGTGAAAATGCTAACACACTTGCACGTGATGGTAAAACACTTGGAGTGTTATCATATTTGCAAAGGTGGTGAAAAAGGTAAAAAAAAGAGGCGTAGCCGGGCTTGTGTTGCTGCCCCGAGGGCACCACCACCATTGTGGCGGTGACCAGCAGAGGCGGCCGAGAGGGAGGTCTTCTGGGTGGCACCACCACCCCTAGGGCGGTGCCCACCTGGATGTGGCCAAAAAGGGCTGGTGCTGGGGCTGGCACCACCAGTGATGGTGTACACCACCCCAGGTGCGACGGTGCACCGCCGGGGGCACCGCCACTGACGGTGTGCACCGCCTCATGCGCGACGATGCACTGCCGGTGTGTCCGGTGCCACCGCAATTTTCACCCGAGAGCAAGGAAAGTTGTGCTGGGCACCGCCATAGGGAGGGCGGTGCACTGCCATTTTTATCCAGAGAAGGGGTTTTCTCGAGCAGTGGCTGGGTGGTCACAGCCACCCTAGGGGCGGTGCCACCGTCGCCTGTCCGGTGCCCCAACGGCTAGTGAAACTAGTTGTTGGATGACCGTTGGAGGGGCACCGCCACCCCATGTCCGGTGCCACACCAACTTGTCCGGTGACCCTGCAAAAGCTGACTCAAAGGGGTAACGGTTCTATTTGCTTGTGGGCTTATAAATAGAGCTAGTGGCTAGCCATGGCCACTTTCTTGGCACTTCTAACAGCTGCAAACACCCTTTGAGAGCTGAGCACACCACTCCACTCACTTGCACACTTGAGTTCATCATCTTGAGTGAGATTGGAGAGCCTCTAGTGCATTGCTTATTGTTCTAGCATCTCGTAGCACTAGTTGGGTGATTTGGGCTGGTGGAGTTCTTGTTACTCTTGGTGTTTGCCGACACTTAGACGGCTCGGTGATTGGTGGATCATTGAGCGGCTATTGGTGATTGTTCCCGGCTCCGATCGTCGACATTGTGAGGGGTTCTTGTGCCTTCCCGTGGGAGATCACGAAAGACAACTCTAGTGGATTGCGCGTGGCTTGTGTGATCCTTATCTTGTGTTGGTTGTGCGGCACCCTATTGAGGGTTTGGCGTGTGATGCCAATTAGCGTGTGAACCTACAAATGAGTGAGTTGCCACAACGAGGACTAGCTTGCCGGCAAACAAGTGAACCTCGGTAAAAAATTATTGTGTCATCATTTGATTTCGAGATGATTGGTCTTCATTGGTATTCATTCTTGTGATTGATTGGCTCCTTTGGTGATTGGCTCATTCCTTTACACGACAGTATAACACTCCATCATTCCCGCGCATTTACATTTCTTAGTGTAGCTTGGCCCTTTAGTGTAGCTAGTTTGAGGACAAGCAAGAGTCGTGTCTAGTGGTTATTGAAGCTCTTTAGTTAGTCTTTGAGAGTTCACTAATTTAGTGTAGTGACATAACCTTTGAGTGCTTATAGACAATAGTAACTAGAATTGTGGTAGGTGGCTTGCATTCTTAGTAGGCTAGTGCAATATTCGCTTCGCCTTATATTTATCTAACCGTTTTACGTAGTGTTGTTGTAGAAATTTTTATAGGCTATTCACCCCCTCTAGCTATTAGGACCTCTCACCGTGACACTTAGCGGACAGGATCTCGATAGTGAAACACAAACTTAACACGGACTGAGCCTGGCCCAACGTAGCCCTTGTAACAATTGTGGGCATGATTTTTTGAAGTAGCCCAAGAAATGCCTAGGTCTATTTGGACTTTTGGAGCCCTTGGTGTTATGAGCCTTTTTTATATGCCACCGTCATTTGAGTATGGCTGGAATGACACTCATGATCAAACAATTGAAACCACCTTAAGAAGTTCATAAATGCATAGGTTGATTTAGGTTGTGTTTGGTTCAGTTTTTTAAAGTGTTTCTGCTGCTAAAAAGCGTAATGTTGTTTTTTTTCTAGGAGCTGTTGTTTTTACGTAGTACAATATTTGCATTATCTTAAATCCTGTTTTTGGCTTTTAATACAATGATATAGAAGTCTTTTACGTTTTCTTAAAGAGAAAGACAAAAGATATTGCTAGAAAGTTGTATTGGATGTTCGAGAGTTTCCAACTTTTCCAAGGACAAGGGAGCTCATCCTTGTATTTTCCTTCGGGGTCAGGTGCAAGTGCAAAAGGCCTCGCTTACGCTGGTCCTCCGTACTCCATGGCACAGCGGCAGGCAACTTGTCCCCTTCTTCCACCTCACGCTGCCATTCCTGGGCTTCTCACCCAACAAGCCTCGAGGCCCAAATGCATTTCAGCCGCCCATCACAAGCGTACGCAAGCACAACTCCACAACTAGTCCGCGGGTTCTCTCCTGCTGCTCCTCCTTCCTATCTTGTCCGCTACCCCTGCGGTAGGGTCGTGTCGTGTCCCCACCTCGCCTTCGTTCTGCTCCTTAGCCTCGTACCAATTCTACTCTGGCTATCTCTGACAAAAAACACCTAAAATATAAAAAATATAAGACATATTTATTCTTTATATGGTGCTACCGATAAAAGATTTAATATCTATTTGATATTTTCTTCAATAATTAGACCTAAAGAAAATCTTTTTTATAAATAAGTTTTTAAGAGAGAAGATGTTCATATTTAGATGGTACCTTTTAGATAAGGTCTTTTGTATAGGGATTCTGTTGGAGACTTATTTTAGGTATTTCGCTGTGCATTAGGTGGCCATATGTTCCTGAGACAGTCGCCGACCGCCCAACCATGGCGGCAACGGCTCTGCTCCTTCCCAGCCTCGCGGCGCCCACGGCCACGCAGCGCCGCATCCACAGCTCGCTGCAGCCGCAGCAGCTCCAGCTCCAGCGCGGCTCCCTTGCCTCTCGCTCTCGGTCCCTCGGGCCTCCGCGGCGTCGGCGGCGGCTCGCGGTGTTGGCCGTGCAAGAGACGAAGGATGGGGAGACCAAGACGGCCGAGGAGATCACCGAGAAGTACGGGCTCGAGTTCGCCCTCTGGAAAGTAAGCGAGAGACACCCAGGCAGCCACCCCTTTCAGGTTTCAGCCTCGCTCCGAAGCACATGTGAGCTGAGCGAATTGTGTTGCGCTCTCCGTGGCTGCAGGTGTTCAGCTCCAAGGAGGAAGAGGGAGGCGAGGGGAAGAAGTCGCGGACGGACCAGGCCAAGGAGCTCCTGGCCAAGTACGGCGGCGCGTACCTGGCCACCTCCATCTCGCTCTCCATCGTCTCCTTCACCCTCTGCTACCTCCTCATCAGCGCCGGCGTCGACGTGCAGGAGCTGCTCGCCGAGGTGAGCTGCTACCTCTAGCCAGCTGTGCAATCGCCTCGCCGGCTGTGTGCCCTCCGGCTTACGGTACAGGCCACGGATGGTCCTTGTGCGTTGCTTGCAGGTCGGGATCGTGACAGGGGAAACTGGAGGGAAGGTTGGGACCTTCGCGTTGGCCTACGCCACGCACAAGGCCGCGTCGCCGATCAGGTTCCCGCCGACGGTGGCGCTGACGCCGGTGGTGGCCAGCTGGATTGGCAAGATCAGGAAGGGCGGCGACTGATGCGATGCCCCACTCAAGTACAGTTCTCACTGAATCATGTAGTCTATGCAAATAGCTATATATAAGACTGTCTCCAACATATGACCGCAAGCAAACCTAAAATGGATGACAGTAGATCCAAAATCAGTCTGCAACAGAGTATTTATACAGGAGACCTATTTTAAGTTGTCTGAGAAGCACAACCTAAATATGAGTATCCTCCCTCCTGAAAACCCATTTACATAAAGAATTCTCTTTTAGGTCCTATTGTTTGAGAGGATGTTAAATAGGTATTGAACCCTTTGACTATGGCCCCGTTCGCTTGTCTGAAAAGTGAGAGAGAAATACTATAGCGGCTGAAAGATACACTACAGCAATGTGAGGAGAAACAGCCAGACCAGTCGAACACCGCCTATAACGCTACCCAAACGTTAAATGAACCTTATATTTTAGGTGGTTTTGTTGGAGATAGTGTAAGCCCTATATAGGTGTTCGACTAGGCGATGCCAGTGAATATATCTGGTGCTGCTTTTGTAAAAGCTGTTCAATAACGATTTTGAACTAGCAGTAATAATGGATGACGAGTGGGGAGTTTTTAAACTAGAAGCTGACAATGCAGTTGCTTCAGAGTTTAACAATGAGATTTACACTTTCCAGCATGGAATTTGCTGAAGATGCTTGACATTACTTAGTACTTTCGACACATCTAGACAGCATATGCAGAATATGTACACAAAAATTGTGGCGCCGTACAAAGGCAGAATCAGATGGACATAATCCTGACCCCTAAAAGTTGGAGAAATGCACCCAACCAGCGATTCAGTTTATACACCTGATTGCCGCATTGTTCTGCATCCATGCCACTGATACGCATACGCTGTATAAGCCACCAAATGTGTGACAGCAACAATCCTCAACAAAAGGCCTATCTCACCAGGCATATCTCAACCCCTGTATCCTACCTTCCACACGGAGAAAGGACGTGTGGCGTGGTAGAAACCACCCCTCCCAGGAGTCTCAAAAGGAACATTGCCATCCAAAATGAGCTCAGTTCGTTCCAAAACATCCAGCGTAGTAATACCTTGGTTAGAGCCCACAGCTGTACGTACACCAACTGCAGCTGGCTACTGCTCGAGTGTCTCTGGTGAGCTCACCTCTTCAGCTAAGAAATCATTGGGGTCTATCTCATCCAACTGCATTTCTGCTATTTACCATGCTAAGTAATACTTCAATTCTGCAAGTACCTATGGATTTATTGTAGATGGCATTTAAACAAGACCTCATGAAGACTAGTATTCAAAAAAGGATACGTTCTGTTCTCCACATATCACTGATGGTAACATCAGTGTCTGTAAACAGCAAGTAGTCCGCTCCACTCTGCAAAAGTGTAGTAGGACCATGGATAGCTAAGTCAACTATTTGCTTTGATATTGTCAGGCGGAAAAGATACACCAAGTAGGGGCAAACCCAATGTATCTTCACAAGTTAAAATGATGCAATTACAGGGATAAAAAGAAATTAAGATGCAATTTAAGAACATGTATGTAATGTACTAATGTAGAACTGTTCAGAATTGTGTAATTCGTCTATGAAGTCATAAGGCTCGATGTTCTTAGTTAACTGATATGATTATGGAATGCATCACCATCACCTTGTATAGATATTATATACAGTATAATATAAAAAAGCTAAACTTCATAAGTTCAAATCTACTTACGTCAACATCTGAAGGATTAATTTTCCTCAGCACTCCTTCAGAATGACATGGGGGATTTAGATCTGGAGTTTTCTGGGTCTCCTGAGCCTTAAGCACCACCTCCTCCTCTCTACTCATTTGCCAAGCTCTTTTTGTTCTGGGGCGTTTTATGGAGCCATGCTTTGCCACATTTGTGTGCCCTGCTGGTGCTGCAGCATCATCCAGCTCTCCCTCCATTTTTTCTTCAGTTTTACTAACAATAATAGTAAGGATGTATGTCAGACAATTTACTTTTCCAGGAGCCAGCTTCAAGAGAAGATTCAAACATTACCTAACCAAGTAAAGATCAATTGCACCCGTAGTACTCCGTATTACTATTCTATATCTCTTTTGAAGGCTATCGCCAGTCATCTTATGAAATAAATGAGCTAAAGTTATGAAACAGTTATAGATAACTAAACATGCAACGCATCGTATATGGAGTAATGGACTGGTTATTGGTTTCCTGGTTACCACATCAGGATTGGGCACTTCCAAAGAAGACCCATGAGGTGCTTTTATTGCAAATAGTGTTTGGTTCTGCAGATTGAAAAAGGATATATGAGTTCACAGCAGAGTTAACTATGCTTAGTTATGTTTGGTATTAAGGATAGCCTGAATAGTCAAACATAGGATGAAATTTACTCGGAATAGTCAGAAATAAGATGAAATTTGGAACAGGCAATAATTCAGAATTTCTTTAACATGCAAGCAACCTGAAAGCAGGGCAACTCCTTGATGTCATCTTCAGTAAGAAATAGCCACCTAAATAGGAATAATAGACATGATTATAAAGTAAAACAGTGACTGTGGTATGCAAGCATCTTGACACAAATTAATATGATTACCCCTGGTTGCTTTCATCTTCAGTTAAGCCCTTCAGCTTTTCCCGTATTTTACTGCAAGGAGAAATACTTTTAGACTGTATCACCATTCTCATTTGAAATAGCAACATTGAGAACTGCAGTCAATAGTTTTGCAACCTCCAGCGGTTACCAACCTTATATGTTCATCTAATGCTTGCTCCTGTAGATTAAGATTTTCAAAATCTGTCTGCAAGGAGATTACACCAAGTGGAACTTAGACTTGGAGTATCATGTCTAGGTACAGGGACATTTACCTTGAGTTCGATAATATGGACATGATTACATGAAACAAAAAGAGCAAAAATAAGTACCTTCAGAACTGAAAGATCATCATCCAAGTTAGGTCCCAATTTATCCAAACCCCTGTAAAATCATAAGGTTAGCATGTTGCACCATATAACCATAACTTGTAAGCATAGAAGACAATGCTCACTTCCAGCAGATTCTGTTCTTCAACTTCTTTTCTATCAGACCAATTCCTTGAAGGACATTTGTAATGTCATACATGCGCCTCTTTTTAACCTGAGTTTTCATAGTCACGCAGAAGCTTGCATCAAGACTCAAGAGAAACAAAGAGAAATGCCAGCTTAAATGAGGAAAAGTTCCATACACCTAACGTCTCTGCTGTGCTGTTCAAATCTAAAATTCCATCTTCAGCCTCCTTGAGCAGATTGATAAACTTTTTTGTCAACAGTGCTGGACAAATATCACATGTTCACATAAATAGGTGTCAGCAAAAGAATTTATATGAAACAAGACAATAGTAAAAATAATTGATATGAAACAATGTAACCAGAATGGAATATCTAATGAGCAGCGTATGGAATATTGTAAAAGTCAATTTATCATATGAGAGTGCTAAAAATCACCTAATGAACTGTCAAAGCGACAAGAACCAGCAGGAGTAGGTGGGTTGCCAGGTGAACCTGCTACAACACAAAGGCACTATGCATTTAACTATCAGACAGATAGAACAAATACATAAGAAGAGGAAGTTGAAAGAACAAACTATGTTGATGTAACCAGAACCAGATCAACGAATTTATACTTGCCAGCATTTAATGTGGGTGTCTGAGGTCCAGCTTTGGTGTATTCAGACTTTGACTTGTATTTCCTAGCAGTATTTCCAGAAATTGGGGTCATTCGTGGACTGCCGACTCCTTGAATGAACCCAGAACTGGCCATACTCAATCCGGTTGACTCAGCTGTATCACATTCTCCATAGGGAGCTTTTCTTTTTAGCTGGACATAAAAGGAGGAAATGATTAGTGGCGACTTACACTTGATATAGCCACAAGTGGTAGACTGGAGCATGTGCTAAACCATAACAAAACTTCAATAAAAGTAGAAGTGCCATGACACATGTTTCAAATGCTAATTAGAGGCTACAGAGATCTTTTGTCTCAACCATAAAGATCTTTTAGAAAAAAAAAATGCAGTATACAAGATCACAATAGAGTATTCTGTAAGAAAATTACAGTACAGTCCCTGATCCCAAAGAAACTTTGTGGAAGTTGTATCAGCGTCAGGAATAGATGCTTAGATTATACAGACAGTATCCTGACGGTGGCTACCCGGTGATCCTAAGGTACAGATCCTCAGAAATTTCAGAATATGTATAAATGCTAACACGACTATCTTTGTGGAGTTTCAACATAAAAGTTCTGCTAACTATCCAAGAGCTGCATGTTCCCACATCAATTTGGTACTAAAACCTTTAATTAGAAACACGCATAATGCTCCAAGGTGATCTGCTCTGTTGCATCAAATAAAACTGGTGACACTACAAACCAGCATCCAGGATGTTTTTAGATAAGGGAATAAACCGTATATTCAAGTCTCTACGTCTAAGATGCACATGAACATAACCCAGTATTCGAGATGACAAGCTGAAACTTTAGTTTGTAGAATCCAGCACAAGGCATGGCAGCTTGTAGCAACAAAATAAGTGGATAAACAGGATAACAAAATAGAAGCGGCTGAATTGAGACCTTTCTTCCTGCATCATGCTTGCAACTAAGCGAAACAACAGTGAGCACATGTCTAAATTAGCACGAAATGCAGTAATCTAAACTGGCCCGACATGCACCCAATCCTGCTCTCGAAGCAGCTCTGAAGCAACTTGCAATCAACCATGTAGGATTTAGGAACATAACATGTAGCATTGGCCGTGAAAACCAAAACCCCAAACCTCAAAACCCACAGCAGACCAGGAAACCACATTTTCTCATTGACATTTGGATACCAGACGGCCGATAGGCCAAGTGCTTTCCCATGCGTGAAACCTTCACAGTCGCTGTATTTTCATTTTTCAGCTTCTCAACAATTATTGGGCTACAAGCAGCCCACGATTGGACCGAAATGCACTTATCCACATGATAATCCTACCCGATAAGTAATTTGGAAGAGCGCCGCATTTCCGCTACATGAAGATCAATCCTCTGGCAAAAAACCGAAAATTCCGCACCAAGCCCCGAAAACAGCAGGCAAATCCGTACACTGTAGACTAAGCGCCAACTCACCGGCATCCTGACGACGATCCCCTCATCAAAAACCTCTCCGCGACCGCCGGGGGTCGCTGCCGTTGCCGCTGCAGCGGCAGGTGACGGCGACGGCCGGGGGAACTGGTGATAGTCGCCGAGAGCAGCGCCGAAGGGCGGACGCTCCAGAGAGAGCCGCGCGCACCGCTGTAGCGACTTCACGATCTTCCGCGCGGCCGCCGGCCGGGCGCCTTCCGACATGATGGTCTCCTCCGGCGGAGGGAGCGGCGGCGCGTGCAAAGGTACCGTGACTACGTGACCACCTGGTGCGGAGATGCACCGGGTCCCGATCGTCCCGCCGGGGATCGTCTCGAGGCGTACGCCCGAGGTAGGGTTCCGGCGAGGCGGCGGTGGAGGTGGGCAGTTCGGGGTGGGGTTGGCGAATGGAGAGGGCGAGGGGGTTAATTAAGGGGGGGGAAGCGCGAGGAGAGAAGACGGCGAGGGAAATTAACAGGGCCGTTTGCGTTTTTGCGGCTTCGGATGGCGCGCAGGGGCTGGTTAATTTTTCTGTGGTGTCATTAGATGCAAAAGTCGCGCCGGAGCGGCCGAGGCCGATGAGTCAGCGGGGCGTGATGAACCTTTTTCATTTTCCTCTGTAACATATGTGTCATGTATATTTGCTCAAAAAAAAATTTGGTGTCATGTATATTTTTTCACTCGCTTGTCAGCCAACTAATGAGAAGAGAGAGAGGGGAGATCTTTGATATACTCCCTCCCTTCTAAAATTGATGATTTTATAGATTCAAATTTTATCCTAAAATACTTCTTTTCTTATTTCAACATATATTTCTTTTTGTTGATATACCTTTCTCTTTTCTTAATATATCTCTATATCTCTCCTTTTTATTATCTCTATATCTGTCCTTTTTATTTTCTGTGGACCATACTTTTTTACTCTTGGTTTCCGTGTCTAGATATATAAAATCGTAGGCTTGAGAACCAAATCCAACCCTTGGAAATTGGGTAGTAGTATATGATACTCCATCAGTTCCAAATTATAAGTCGTTTTGATTTTTTTTTATCCATTTTGCTATATATCTAGACATATTATTATATCTAAATGCATAGCAAAATGAATGTATCAAAAAAGTTAAAGTGACTTATAATTTAGAACGGATAGAGTAGAATTGTTTTATTTTAGGTTACTTTTGGGTCTATTACCATAAATGCACAACATTGGTCCTGATATGATTGGTAGAGCGACGGAAAAAACGCTTCCTAATAAGTTATACCAAAAAATAAAGCAAAAATATGGTTAAAATAAGCTAGTTTGACCTAGCTTTTGCGTTTTAGTATAAATGGGTGATACTGAGAGAAGAGTGGTAAGAAAATATCTATTAAAAACATATCGTTTCACTTTTGGAAAAAGTCTATTTGACCCCCCCACCTATCATACTTGGTCTACTTCACCCCCTCAACTATGAAACCGTCTGTTTTACCCCCTGAACTTTCCAAAACTGTCTATTTTACCCCCTGGGCGGTTTTCAGCGGTGGGTTTGCTACAGTAACGGCGGATTTGCTACAGTACCGGCGGGTTTGCTACAGTACCGGCGGATTTGCTACGGTACCGTTGCTTTTTGAATTTTCTTTTTTTTATTTATTTTCGGTGAATTTTTGAAAAATCATAGAAAAATCATAAAATGAAAAATCTAATTTTATTAGACTCCACATGAGTAGATCTACACAGTGAATATATAATACGGTATGCTTTAGTACAAATTTTTTTTTGTAGCTTTAGATTAATTGGAAAATCTAATTTTTTCTGTAATTAATTGGAATAATTCATAACTGCAGCTTCAATGGTCCAATTATGGTGAAATTTTTATGGTACGCTAATTATTGTATGCTTGAACTATAGTAAAAATTTCGTACTCATTGGACTATGTATAACTTAGTTATAGATAAATTCTAATTAATTCCAGACAAAATTGGATTTTCTAATTAATCTAAAGCTAAAAAAAAAAATTGTACTAAAGCATACCGTATTATATATTCACTGTGTAGATCTACTCATGTGGAGTCCAATAAAATTAGATTTTTCATTTTATGATTTTTCTATGATTTACTATGATTTTTCAAAAATTCACCGAAAATAAATAAAAAAAAGAAAATTCAAAAATCAAAGGCACTGTAGCAAACCCGCCGTTACTGTAGCAAACCACCGCTGAAAAACCGCCCAGGGGGTAAAATAGACGGTTTTGGAAAGTTCAGGGGGTAAAACAGACGGTTTCATAGTTGAGGGGGTGAAGTAGACCAAGTATGATAGGTGGGGGGGTCAAGTAGACTTTTTCCTTTAACTTTTAGTCTTATCTTATTTTGATCATAAACAGTTTATAAGTTATACAACCAGGGCAATTATAGGTTGGGAAAGGAATATCATTCTTGCACTAACATAAGGACGCTTTCGCTGCACCTCCCCTCCAAGTGCTATGTTGCAGGAGCCGAAGCCGCGGAGGCAGTTTTTGGCATTCTGGCTCTGTGCACCAAAATGGCTCCACCTTAGTGAACCTCGGTAAGCACTCCTCACGATATTGTTTGGTGTGGCTCCGTTCACAGCCGCACACGGAACTGGTGCAAGAGCCACACTAAACAGTCTCTAGCATGGCAGGTTTGAAGAAAAAGAAATTATACGGTAGAGTGAGTATGGCAATTCGAACAGGATTTCTACTTGAACCTCTATAGCTGAATATGGATGCCTATGCCAAAAACACAATTCCACAATACTGTCCCTACTAGAGCTCTTAAATTTGGGTGGCCACCCGAATCCTTCCTTGGACCCTCATTCATGGGGTTGTAGGCCAACCACATAAATGACGGTTTCCGTCCGTTTCTATGCATGCCTTCTTCCACTCGCCCCTTCCTCGCCAGCACGCTACCATTTTTCCCAAGCCCACGTGTGATTCCCTCCGGCGCGACCATGACTCCTCCAGGCACGACCACGACTCCCCCCTCCCCCTCCCCCCGACTCCCCAGCGACCACGACTCCCCACCACGAGCAGCTTCCCTCTGACTCTCCGCTTCATCCTTGTCTCCGATGGTCGGTGCACTTCCTCTCCTAACTCCTAGTGTTTTGGCCAAGAAAGTCAATTACAAGCAGATCTCGGGTGTCATTCTTCATTGGGATGAGTTTGAGGACTCTATTTTAAGGGCCATTGCTGGAATGCGGTCTAGAAAAACACAATTCTCAAAAGTGAGAGGGGGCCTTAAATGAAAAGTAAGAGCCCTATTTTAAGTGCTACTGCTAAAGTTGCTCTTATATCACACTAGTAAGGACTATGGAGAAAGTTTCGCACGCCTCGCCAGATCTTATGTTCATGGTAATTGGTATAGATAGCAACGGATCATGTTGGGTGTATCCATGTAGGTAGAGTTAGCAAATTTACGTACCTCGCTTGTCATATTGATTGATGGGTAAGATTACGTACATACAGCCACCACACTTAGACTGTCTCCAACAAGGGAGACCTAAAAACGGCACCTATTCCAGCTTTTGGGTCTCCCATAGGAAAGGGTAACACACCCATAAACTCGCCCTCTCCAACAGCGACCGCGGGAGTCTGCACTCGGCCGCCGCATCCTTCTCTCCCCTCCTTCGCCGCGCCGCAGCCAGAGCAGGGCGTCGGCATGGGCGCGCGGCTTGCTGGGAGGGCGGCAGCGGGGCTCTCCTTCTCGGTGGTAGCTACGGCGGTCGGGGATGGGCTCGCGCGCGGTAAGGCCGCTGTGCACCGCCGCCGCCGGCTGCGGCGGACCAGGGCGGCCTCCCTGCCCCGGCGTCCGAATCCAGCGGTCCCAGGGCCGGATCCTCGTGGCGCTCGGGCGGGCCGCGCCTGGGCGGGCGCTGGGCGACAGCCATGGCGGCAGCGGCTCCAGCCCAGTTCGGCGCCGGATCTGCAAGGGGCTGCGCCCTGGGACGCGCACGGAGGCGGCAGCCGTCGCCCAGGGGTGCCGGTTGCGGGGCTCTTCCTCTTCCTTGCGCTCAGCGGTAATGGCGGCATTCGGAGCAGCGGGCCGGCGGGGCGCGCCCTCGCGCAAGCCGCGTGGGGCTCGACAGGGTCGCCTGCTGTGGCTGCGGTGGCGCCGGCCAGTGCCCGTGCAAGTGTCGGGCGGCGACGAAGGGGCTCCTTCCTTCCTCCTCCGCTTCCTCCTTTCCTCCTCGACCTTGGCAGTGGTGGCGATTTGCATAGCGAGGAGAGAGGGGATGCTTTTTTGCGTAGCGTTTCAGCTGATAGCCAAAATGCGTCGTGGGTTTAGGTCCTCCGTTGGACGGTGTTTTTGGTAGGCAAAGGCACTGTGAGTGACGCATTTTGGGTCTAGGTCTCCTTATTGGAGACAGTCTTACGGATGGAATTTTGCATCTGCACATACACGCATCGATACTTACATCTCTTAAGTTAATATACAAGAAGAAATTATGCACCAAAATTTAATTAAAAGAGAACTTGAATGTGAAAGTTTGAGATATATGACCACACCCCAATTAGTTGTATCAGGCTCACTTCCTGTGTTAGCTAGAATAAATATAACTTTTATTATTTCAAGCGCACATAGACGAAATCGGACACCTTAATCCGTCGGGTTCAGTACATGCAGATTAGATTATCATTTGTAATCAACTAAACATGGGTCTACTGAATGAGGTTCGGGATATAGATCATTTTAAACCCTAATATATTTGACCATAATCCAACGTGATATTTCAGTGGGATGGACTGGCCAAAATTTAAGGCCAATGGCAGGCTCGATTGGATTGGGTCCGAAGAAATATCTGACCGTCAAAACATATCGTGGAAAAATATCTACCGTTTGGAACAAAGGATTTCTACCGGAAAAGTGAACGAAATCGAAATGGATGAAAGAAAGTAGAATAGAGTGTTTGAAACGAAGGGAGCAATTATGCCTTTCCTCTAAAATACTGTAGCAACAATGCGATTTTGCAGGAACCAAAACCTCCGCTTCTACCTCTTGTTTTCTCTTCTATTGCACATGCTCGAGACAAGTGCAGGCGGGTTTGGGCGCTTGGCCAGGCTGTCCTCCCCGTAGTATATAGAAGAGTAAAGTTCATGGTCGGTTCTTAAGGTTGTGTGAGGTGTCATCCAGTCCCTAACATAAAAAACGTGTTATTCCGGTCCTTAAGAGCATCAAGAGGTTGGCCAAAATTTAGCAGTCAAATTCAATATTTAGCCATTATGTAAAATAGAAAA